CAGATGGCGGCGCTGAGTGATGGATGGTAGGACAAAGTCAAAACTACCTGCCGGGTCTTGGGCCCGTGGCGTTGGGTCGCAAAGGAAACCGAATATTTCCGCTGCCCGGATCTTGATATGGCCGCCATTTTGCTGCCGGGCCTTGTTGAGAAAAGAGAGCGCTGACAGTACGACACAGTCAGGGTCAGGTGCAGCAGCCGAAAGCCATATTGGCTCCTATTTCGGCTGCTTAGAGCTGGCGGTCTGACACCGCAACTCCCGCCGAAGCCGTTGGTTGGTGGAAAGGTGAAGACAGAGAACAGGAACAGGACCTGATGGCTTCTGTTGTCTCGCAGACATCCATCATCCATGCCATGCCCTGCCCTGCCCTGCCGGTGTCTCTGAAAAGAAACGTGGGGGTGTCTGTGTAGAGACAGAAGAGGGGGAGGGATGGATGAAAAGACTTGGTTGCCGATCTTGGGGCCGTTTATCCTTTCCACGGACAGTAAATAGAGGCCGTCATGATGTGTCTGTAGTGTATATGTCGAGTGCCTGATGACCGGCTGCAGAAGGCCATCTTTGGATGGGCTAATGAAGCAAGGCAGTGAGTCGCCAGCAGATGGCTAAGCCGGTTGGGGCAAAGAGAGAGAAGTGAGTGGTCGAGGTGGTGGTAATGATGGATGGCTGTGACTGCAAATGCAATAGGATGAAATAGGATGGATGGATGTGATGGCATCAAATTTGAGAAGTGTTTTCTGCTGGAGGAATGAATGGATGCTTGGGACTGTGTGAATTGGCAGTAATTGGTGTGGGTGGCCTAAAAAAAAATTCTGCTGCAGCTGCCCTGTGCGCTACTGGACGTCAACGACCGCTAGGGCCGATTCGAGGACCGGGGGTTTTTCCAGCAGTGGGGTCTCCACTCTCTTCAGCAGTGGGCCGCATGCCCTGGCCCGCATCGCCGACCAAAACAACCTGGCAGCAGAAGAGGTTCACACTTGCTGGTTAGTAGGTGGTTAGGTAACGACACCACAAGAAGCCACTTTTGTGCTCTCTCCTGTCCGAAGTCCCATGCACTTGGCGGTCTCATATTCCAGCGACGATCCCGATAGCCGTGGGCTATTGCGGCCGAGAGCTGGCGGGCAACATTCAAATCGCCATGACACGTTGTATGTGGTCAGAGACTCGTTTCTTACCTGCCTCTGAGACAAGGGCGATCATCGCGGCTCGGCGGATAGAGGCTGGCAATTACCTATGGATATCAAGTCTGCATTCTGCCTCTAAT